CACAAGTTAGTGAATTGTAATATTATGACACACAGCTGACAATAAGAATACTATGGCTCTACATACACAAACATCAAAAGCTGTCAAAGGTATAGTAAAAGCCAGGCGTGGTAGTGCACACCTGTAATCCCAGCATTCAGGAGGCTGACGCAGGATTGTTGTGAGTTTGAGACCAGCCTGGGCTACAAAGTGAGCTCAAGGCCAGCCTGAACTGCACAGTAAGACCCTGTCTCAAAAAGACAAAAAAAAAAAAAAAAAAAAAAAAAAAAAAAAAAAAAGATACAGTAAAATGTGAAAAAACCAAATTACAGGACAATTTCTACAATATGGTCCTATTTATAACATTAAATGTGTATACATATATGTATGTATATATGCTTATATATGTAGAATATCTATATAAAACCTAAAAGATTCTGGGACACAGGATGCTAGAATGGGAATTTTTCTTTATGTTCTTCTACATAACTTTAGGTTTTGCTTTTTACTGCAAGTACATAATACTTTTTAATTAAAAGAAAAAATCATTGTTATTAAAAGACATTCCCCAAAAGTTTTGATCATGGCTATCTCACGTATAGTTCAACATTGATAATATCAAATTAGGACAGAAATGTAAAAACTTTTTTTAGTCTTTTTGAGACAAGGTCTTGCTATGCAGTTCAGGCTGGCCGTGAGCTCACTTTGTAGCCCAGGCTGGTCTCAAACTTGCAACAATCCTCCCACCTCAGCCTCTAGAGTACTGGGATTACAGGCGTGCGCCACCACACCCAGCAGAAATGTAGATTTTTGTAACTGTTGGACTGAAAGGAACTTAGATGCTGTCTTAGTCCCCTTGGGCAACTATACCAAAATACTTTGGGCTGGGTAACTTATGAACAGCAGGAATTTATTGTTCGTAGTTCTACAGGCTGGGAAGCTCCAGATCTATCACCAGCAGATTCAGTGTCTGCTCGGGTCTGTTCCTGAAAGACAGTGACGTCACATGGAAGCTCTTTTAACAGTTCATTTCAGGCAGTCCCCAACATACAGTGGTTCAACTTAGGACTTTTTTTTTTACTTCAGGATGGCCTGAAAGCAATATACATCCAGTAGAAACCATACTTCAGATTTTAGATTTTTGTCTTTCCTTGGACTACTGACATGTGATATCTGTGTATGATGTTATCTTGTGACACCAGGTACCTGCAGTGAGTCACAGGGGCAGCCAACCGTGAAATCATGAGAGTAAACAACTCTGTGGTGTGCTATGTCGCTAAGCCCTGATGTTTGCTAAATTAGGTATATAAAATTCATTTTTGATTTATGATATTTTCAACTTACAATGGCTTTATCCATAAATCAAGGAGCATCTGTAATCCCATTCACGAGGGCAGAACCCTCACGAACTAATCTCCTCCCAAAGACACTATTTCTTGATACTATTATATAGGAGAATGAGTTTCAACATGTGAATTTCAAGAAGCTGTAAATACTCAGACCATAGAAAATACTGTCTAGTTCCGTCTTTCACTTTATATGTAAGGAAACTGAGATCACATGGCAAATTCAAGGAGGAAGTGGGACTAGAACATTCACTCAAATTATTGTTAATCTGTGACTTTAAGGTACCCATTTCCCAGTGTACAAAAATGTGTGATACCATCTGAGCTTCTAGGACAAGGCTCACCAGGGCGACCACCAGCTCCAACCAGCTACTCTGTCCTTCCCACTCTCTTTACATACAGTAGTTGTTTATAGAGACTACACTTCTTTCCCTGGTACATTCCCAACTGCCTGATACCTCCTTAATAGTGCTACTATTGTTTCTTCTACCTCAATTATTCTCTACTTTGTACAGTAGAATAATCTGGGAAGATTTAAAAATGCATTGAGAACAGATCACACTCAGGTCTATTAAGTCAGAATGTCTGGGTTGCTGGGGGGCAAGCTCTCAAGTTTTTAAGGTTACCCAGATGATTTCAGTGTGCGGCCAACATTAGCGCACTTTCCTCCAACATTTCTTGGCCTGGTAATATCTACTGATCCTTGAAAACCTCTATGGTAATCCGTCCCAGATCTCACCTTGACCCCATCAACCTTGTGCGTATCTCTCCATGGGCCTTTCCTTATGGAATTGAGAATAATTTTTATGTGTTTGTAAGCTCTTGCAGGGATAATAGCAGTATCTTACTCTTCTTTGAGCTGCTGGTATTTATCATAGGATGTAACTTATAACTGATATCCAATAAGTATTCCAGAACTCTTTGGTGGAGCTCACATGAATCAATCCATTTCACAAGGTCTCATCAGCTTCTTAAACCCACCTCCCCTACGAAGTTGAAGACTACCTCATTTCTGGTTGAATGACTGCCACTGCCAACTAACTAGGCTTTCTTCTTTATTCTCTTTCCTCTTCCCCCAATTCTTCCACCATCTCCCAAATCCTGGTGTAGATCATATCCCTTGCTCTCAAACACAGAATCAGTTCAGGTCCATCGTGAGCTCCTCCACATCAACTGGAATATTTTTAGTCAAACTATTTGAACTATTAGGTTTGTTTTTTTGTTTTTTGTTTTTGTTTTTGTTTTTTTTTTTTGGTTTTTCTCCGGTACTGGGAACCGAACTCATGACCTTGCGCTTGCCAGGCAGGCGCTTTGCCGCTGAGCCAAATCCCCAGCCCCTATTTGAACTATTAGGAAGCAGATTATTGTATGCCTTCTCAAAGTCATCCTAGCACATTCAAAATAAAAGCCTGCTTCTTTATCACATCTCTAGGGAAATGTAACCCACTAGGCACCAATGATTGAGGCCCAGGTTCTGCAAAGTTGTGTGTTAATGATGTAAAACTATAAAGCTACAAATTATTTTTGTCCAGTTGAATTGCAAACAATATCTGTCTAGTAGAAAAGATAGCTCTACAGGTGGTAGCTTTATTTCTGTTGAGAAACAGGTTCTTATCTAACTGTGTGGTCTTCTTTCAGCATCCCTTCTTTTATTCATCATATGTAACTTGGCCTCTCAAACTTTATTTTTAAACTAGTTTATGACATTGTTGCTCCCTTAATTAATGACTTTTTAAACTGTTTTGGAATCAGCTCCATGTATATTAGTATGATAATTTATTTTTAATTTTTTTCAAATTTTGTTGGACTGGGAATATAACATCAGTGGGAGAGTGAGTGCCTCCCTACTATCTTCACAGCACCACAACAAAAGGAAAAGAAAAACATTATTACATTATGACATTTTATTCCAGAAGCTCAGCTACCCTGCACATTTGCTATTGTGGTTTTTCATGACTTGAAGTCTTTGCTCTTATCACTGACTCAAGCTAAAAGTTTCCATTTTGACTAAATATTCTTTAAAATCTCACTCTTCACCCCAGGCTTTTCTCCAAGATGCTTTTCTTTGCAGGCTATCCTGACCTCCCCATCTAACACAGCCTGTGCCTCTGTGTCCTCATTGCATTGGCTGCTCTGTCTTCCCACTGTGGCCGGTCCTACTCTTCATCCTACCAGCTCATCCTACCATGTCTGTCTTCTACTACAGCATGCAGCTCAATGCTTCACCAATAAATGTTCACTATTTGTTTAATTGGGAATAATCAGTCTTAAGTAACCCACTATTTCAACACTTGGCCTCAGCCAAAGTCTAAGCAATCTAATAGATGATAGTTGAGGTGTTTCCAAATTTTTTTTTAAAAAACCACAAAAGATGATTGAAATTGAACAGGCATTTATTGAGCACTTTCTAGGTGCCAAAACACAAGATGAATAAGGCATGGAATTAGGGTATCCTCTCAGGAGTGAGCGTACTGCTTTCCAAGCCTTCTGTGCTCTGTTTAAAAAGAAGCATTAAATCCTAAATGAGTTACTGAAAGTTGCACAGGCTAAGTTTCCCAAGTATTTTCCTTGGCCTGAGGTATCTTCCTGAGGTGGAGACATTGACGGCCACAGGGTTCTCGGCCAGCCGGGGCCCACAGTTTCCCCGGGGTGGTTTGGCTCACTGTTTGGAAGGTAGCAGTTGCCCAGTGGGAGCCCCATCAAGACCCTGGAGACAGGATATAGGCTAAGCCCAGCCTCAGCCTGGGGGTTCCTTCTGTGAGACTGTTTAGTGCCACGTACTCCCAGAGTCCTCTTCTACACCACAATCCCACAAGCACAACTCCAAGTTTGCCTCAACAGTGCCGAAAGGTACAACTCTAGAGTAGACACATAATCCAGAGGCATCAAAGGGACGCTTTGGAGACCACCCAATGTCCCACTGGTGTTGCAAAACAGCTCTCTTCACTTGCTGCTTTGGACTTCAAAGCGATATTATATTTTAATGAGCTGCTGTATAATTAATCAGCCTTCACCCTTTCCAGCTGAAATTACTGAAGGAAATAAGCAAACACCCCAAATTTGCTATTTCCCTTTCCGAATGCCAACAGTGAGGAAATGTTCCCATGTAAATCAAGACTGGGTGTGGATGTTTTCTGGGCTCCAACAAGTCTGCTCTCTGACCTCATATTCAGATTCACTCCAGAAATCTTGGCTCCTCCAGGGAATGTCAGCGGTCACGAACCTTGCCTTCCCCATCCACATTTACCAGCCAGAGGGCATGGTTCACGCTGCAGCAGGCCTCACCAGGCTGAGGCCATTTAAGCCCACCTGAATTCCCAGCCACACCACCAACTGGGGCTCAGGAAGCTAATGATTTTCTTGGTTTTGCACATAGTTGTGTTGTCTTCTGCAAGTTATTCACCTGTGTGGAACTCAGTTTCATCATCTATGATAATAAGAAGAATCCTAATAAATTTTTTGAGATAGCATCTCACTATGTTGCCCAGGCTAGCCTCAATCTCTTGATCCTCCTGCCTTAACCTCCCAAGTAGCTGGAACAGCGAGCGTGTACCACCACGCCTAGCTCATAATAAACTCTGTGAGGGGCACGTCTAGTGTCATAATTAAGAATGAGTGCTCTGGAGTTAAACAGCCTGGGTTAAAACTTGACTCCATCATTCATGTGTGACATGTGACATGAGCAAGTGCTTTAACATCGCTGAGCCTCAGATTTCTTATCCATAAAATGATGTGATAGTAGTACCTAATTTATAAAGTTATGGTGAGTATTCGATGTAATAAGTAATTTTGGTGGTGGGCACATACCAGGCACATTCCAACGTTAGTTATTGTTAATATGATCATTACTCTCACTACTTTTTAAACTATACATCATGTGGTGTGTCCTAAAGATATTATCTTATTTAAACCTTACAATAACACTAAAATAGTATCTATTTTTATATATCTCCATTTTACAGATGAGGAAATGGAAACTCAGACTGGTGAAGTAACTTAGTCAACAGCTCCCCTTTACTGAAAGACCAATAAATGCAAATACTTCCATACCATGTAATGTGGGAAATCCAGAATCCACCCCACACGTCTATCAACACACTTCAGGAAAAGGATGATGTCATCCTGGCCAGCTCTTGCTCTAAATTCCTCTGCTGAGCTGGATTCTGATTCCTGCTCCCCGCCAACACACCTATGGCTGTATTCTTGTTCTCTCTCTTCCCCAAAGAGAAGACATACTCCTTCCTTCAGTGTCTAAGTGCCATTAATATGCAGACATTGTATGTAAGGGACTATTGAAGGCTCAAGAATTAATATAACCCCAAAAAGGAAACACGTTACTGTCACTGGCCAATGTCCCTGGCACACAGAATTTCTTACTGCTGTTCTCTCTACACTTTGACCACCTGTCATTTTTCCTAGGCTCTTTCTTTCTATATCAAAACAGGCCATTCACAGTTATCCCTTCTCTGAGTTTTGCATCCATTTAAAAGCTCATCTGCCAAAAACTCAGAATACCTGTCATTGTGTTATAGAAATCTGGTTAACTCTCTTTTTTAAAAAGTCTCCCCCACCTACAACAGTGTTTCTTAAAGTGGACTCCACAGAGTGGAGCCAGTCTATAAACTTTGGTTCCCAGTACATGACGAGATAAATACAGATGTTAAGGTTTTATAGCAACTTGACAGTAATTTTATGTCTGCTGAATCTAATAATAAAATAAAAATGGAACTGTGCTTTGTATGCCTTTTTATATCATGTTTTTAATAATATATTTTATTGTATGTTTCAAAAGTACCAGTCCGGGAAAGATTGGAATTTTAAAGCCAGCTCTTCAGCATGCATCATTTGAGAGGCACTGATCTAGACCAGCCCAGGAGACCTGCCTTGTGGAAGCCAAATATCCCTTTACTGTACGTACATTTTCAAAGAAAAGAGTAGTTTTCCTAACCTCAGGAATGCTGCTACTCTCCTAAGGCAACTGGATTAAGTCAGAAAATATTTGTTTCCTCCACATCTGCCACAGAAAAAAGAACACATGACATTTGCTAGTCATTGCAGCTTATGGGGCAAGAAAAAGCTGTAACGATAACAGAAACACCCACTTACGCCATTCTTTAGCATTTATAAATCACACTCCCATACACCATTTCACTCAATCTCCACAACATCTCAATCAAGCTGCACTAGTAGGCACTCTACTTCTTGGATGAGAAAATTGAAGTTTAACATGAATGTCTTGCCCAGGATGACCCACCTAAAATATTACAGCCAGACACAAAACCAGCACTTTGATTCTGGACTCCAGGCCTTACATTACGTCACAATATGATAAAATCATCAGATAAACACATTTCCATGAGACCAAAGGGCTGGAATAGATAGATACCCAAATTCTATTTTATCTTTGTCTGGAGCAAGACTGGCCTGCAGATCTCTAGCTAGTTAACAAAAGTAGCTGGCTTGTATTTTCTTTTCACACTGCTGCACCTAGAGATACACACAGACATCCCTCTTGCCTTTGCTCCTTGCCAGTTCTGCCTCACATTCTTATCACCTTCCTATCTACCTTCTTGTCTCAGAAAAAGCAAAAAAGGCCAGAAGCTGTCAGGGACCACCTTTAAGAACAAAAAGCAAAGCTCAGAAGGGAACCTCGAGTTTTCCCAATGGTGTCCCTACCTTGAACCCCGCCATCTAATATGTACTGTTTTCTAATAAGGCAAACTGGATGGACATTAAATACCTTCATGGGGAATAGCTGCATGCTGACAAAAGAGAAGACCAAAACAAGTGTGAGGCAAGAGCTGAAAGACAATTACAGTTCTAATCTGATTAAACTGTTGCCCAAAAGAAAACCAGAGGGGTTTTTTAGAACCTTGTTTCTGTAATTCTGGTTTCTTCCATTTTTATAGCATATAAATAATTAAAATTATGCCCACAATACATTTGGCTTTAGTTGGCAGGCATATTGAAGAATATTACATTTAGTAATTTACATACACCAGAAACATAACACATTAGATTATCCAAAAGCAAAGAGCAGCAAGCAGCATGGATAGATCTCTTCTGTAAAGGCTGCAAGAGCCGATTGCAGCCACATAAAGAGAGCTAGGATTTTCCTAGGAACCATTTTCTTGCAAATGAAACATTTAATTATGGAGCAGAGTCCATAAATAGACCGTTAACACTGGGAGGGGGGATGGATGCAGCTATATTGCTGGATTAGCAGGGGAATATCCTACAAGAAATTCATCAATGCCATGGATAATTAATTACAGCTCACCTTCTCCCCACATAGCCATGCCTTTATCAGCCGGCGTTAGGGAAACAGCAGATGGCCGACCAAATACAGAATGCAATTTTCTGTCAACTCATTACTTACAGAATCACAGATTAGGTACGAGACCCCTGGAAGGTCACCTAGGCCATTCCCCTGTGTCCAGAACAATCTGCGCCAGAACTGCCCCTGTCACGAGAGGATCTATCGCTCCCTTATTCACAAACCATCCCCAGAAAAAGAAATTCACTGTCTGCAGAAACTTAGATTCCAACTACTTTGAACCCTTTCGATGGGAATGGTCCCTGAAGACTAAGTTATCCGGCCTAAATACTGCCTTTTCCTTGGCAGCATTTGGGGCCATGTCCCCAGAGAGAACTGACGTTCCTAAATCCACTTGACCTTTTAGGTTCTGTGGGGACACTTGCGCTGTGGGCATTCTCAGGGTTCTTTCTTCTCTCCTTGCTAGAGATCATCGAGTCAGCACAAGTCTTCTTGTTCCCAGGGTATTTTTATAAAATGTTTAAAAGTCAACCAAAAAATTTCGAAAGCCTTCATAACTATGTTAAGGTTGCCTACTGAAGATGAAAGTATTTGAAATTTCCTGACTTTATTTTTGGCCACATGCATCATCATGGTTTTCCCCTTAGTCACACCACAGTTGATTGTGTAGGAAAAATAATTTTTTTTATTCCCTCAAAAGGCTCTGCTTTTCCCTCCCTAGCTGGGTAGCTGGGAAAACTGAGACTTGTGAAAGAATCACAGTTTGGTCCTCTCCCACCAAAAATGCTCCCTTAGCTTCTGTCTTTTCAAAATCAAATTCTCTACCAAAAGTTGTTCCTCTTAGAATGAGTCTGTGTATTTAGATGATGTTTAGTCTCCTGGGTCTTACTTCCTTGGGTTCCCTAAGATGCTGTCCGGAAATAGGAAGGGATTAATTTATTCTCTTGCCAACAGGAGAGAAGTCCGTCTGGATCCTCCCTAGTCTCAGCTGCATATTGCCTGGAACAGATCTGCTCCCTACAATAGTGATAGTGAAAGTGATACTGACTCCTACTGTGTGAACAAGAGGCCCCAAAGGCCTCTGATTTAAAGGTTGGTCCCTAGCCTGTGGCAATACTGGGAGGAGATGAAGCCTTGGGAAAGGAAGTTAGGTCACTGGGAGTATGTTCTTGAAGGAGACAGTTGAATGCCACTCACTGCCTCCTCTTCTCTCTTTGCATCTTAGCCATCCTGAGCTGAATAGTCTGCCATGCTATATCATAGGCCACCAGAGGCCTAAAACAACAGGGCCAAAGGACTGTGGACCAAGTTCTCTGAAGCCATGAACCAAAATTAACCTTTTTTCCTTACTGAGTTGATTATCTCCAATATATGTTATAATAATGCAAAGCTGACAACGTTTGACTAATGCTGTGCTTTTGTGGGGTGATGGAAAGGCACAGTCATTTAGGGCCAACATACTGTACTCATCACTAGAGTGTACACCCTGTCCCTTGCTTCCATCTGCACGACTCTGCACATTGCAGCCTCTTCCCTCTGACCACAGGCCACTGAGAAGTCGACAGACTCCCTCAGCCCTTTTCCATCCCTGCATCAAAGGATCTTCTGGGTCTTTGCAAGACTCAGTGAGACTGTGGACCCAAAGTCACGGTCTCTGGCTTTTCAGTCTATCCTTCTTCTGTTGCTTAGCCTCCCTTCCATCTCCACACATCCTCATTCCCTTTCCATGACCCAAAACAGATTCCTTATTTTGCTCCAGCGTATCTTCCTCCTACTGTAAGACTGCAAACTCACGGTGTAGTCGTCATGGAAGAAGGGGCACTCTCTTTACGTTTGGAAGCCATGCAATAACCTAAAAATTCTGCACATGCAGTGGCTCTCCAACTATTAACTCACAACTAGGGTTGGTTGAGGACAAAAAGAGTTGATTTCTTATCCCAGAATGCACTCCTTACATTTCGTTTTTCTGCTCAATCCCTGAGCTTATCAGCCAGCTCTTTCACGATCCACAGTCATACCCAGTGATGCACAGGTGACAGGCTCACATGCTTACCTACACCTCTTAGTCCTTCAGATGGAATAAATGGTGGCACCAAGATTCACATCAACAGATTATATTGGTTTACTAATAGATCTAGGAGTAGGAGTGATTCCTTAATCCTTTTCCAGATAACTGCTCATCCTGATGGGGTCACTAAAAAATAGAGATGGTTGGTTTATTCCATGATGATTTATTTTGAATCTTAGAGACCTATGATGCCCCACAATGTGCCCAAAAGTTTGTCATATGCCTTCACACAATGGCACCATTAAACCCTAAAACATGACTACGTGCCCATAGCTTTTCTTATAACTAGATCTCAAATTAACATGTTTTCAGAGTCTGTTACCTTATCAATTATATCTACCAACTCTAAACTTAAGAAATACCTCCAGTTGCATGACAGTTATAACCCCAACCAAACACACAGTAGGCTCGTAAAATATGTGTAATGAATGAAACTGAACCTCAATACAATGCTGTGGGGAGGCACCGACATCGGTGACCCGGAGTACCTCTCTTCCTGTTGTTTCTTGCAATAGGAGAACAAACCTCTTAATCATAGGGTATTTTGTGAGGAATTTTTTTTCCTCAGCCATTTATTTACCTGCTCACTCCTCATCGTTATGTGTGGAATATACAGCATTGTGGAGAGATTTATGGGACAGATTTTAATCTCAGCTGCAGGGCATGCATCAGTGCTTATCTCTAAATTGAGGTGTGTTGTATGTGTCATTGTTTCCTATGATCACAGGACTGGCCCAGCCAAATAGCCACATACCTGAAACCCAGGAGAGAGAACAACGTTGGGAGAGTGGAGGAGGAGCTGCAGTAGAGGGGAAAGTGCTTATGAGAAAGGGGCCCGTTATGGACTCCCTAACCCATGGCCCATAAACCCAATTACTCTCAAACACAGTTGGAGGAAAGCAGGAATTGTGGACTGAGACTTGAGAAGCTCATCTGCATAGCAAATCCCCCACAACCATGGTGCTTCCCTAAGCATTGGCTCACCTAAGTCACACAAACACAGAAGCCAAATTCTTCCTGGAAACCTGACCCTCCCAACCCCTTCCTTTGCATTCCAGGCTGAAGAAAGAGTTTAGAGCACAGAACTGAAGGGATCTACAAGATGTGGTTTAAAGTTGCCACCGGCATCTCCATGACCTCTGGCTGCCCTCTGAGGCCCCACCAAGCTGGCTTTCTCATCAGGGCCTGGGAGGAGCTGAACAAGGTTTCACTGGCAGCAGCTCCTATTACAGGGCCAAAGAAGGCCTCCCTTAATGGCCCCTCGGGGCCTCTGACACTTGATCCTTAGTCACTGTCTTCCACTGACCTAATGGGCCAGAATATGTCTTTCAGACTGGAAAAATATTTTTGAACTTGAAAGCGTGTATGTTTTCTTCTAGAGAAAGCCCATTCTAATCAACCAAACTGGCCCTTGGTTTGTTCCTTCGCTTATTCTTTCACCCCTTTTTAAGAGCCTAGTCCACTAGGCAGGATGTATGAAACTAATTAAAGATCAAAACTCTCTAAGGGTTTCTGTCTATTTTTACCCAAACTATCTTCAAAGGGCTGGGAAATGATATAAGGAGACAACTGCCCAAACAGCTTTAAAAGAAAGTAGGCCAGGGTCACTCCACTCCTCACCCATCTAGGTTTGGAGGTGAAGGGCATGACTAAGTGGAAACGCAACACAGCCATCCCAGATCTGGACCTGTTGTCATAAATCAAGAAGCGGGTCACAACCTGAAGGACATCCAGGCAAGTCACAGGGGAGGTGTCAGAGCCAGGTGGACAACTCCAGGCCTGCTCACTTTTCTTTCTCATCCTGCTTGTTCTGGGTGTATATTTGTGGAGTGAGTTAAATATTGGATAACAACCTAAAGTGTATTTCCAACCCAAATCCACATTTCCAAAGGTGAATTTATTTGGAAAAAATGTCACTGCACATACAATTGAGGATCTCAGGATGAAATCAGCTTGGACCCTAAGTGCAATCTATGATAAACCGACAGCCAACATCATATTAACAACTGAAAGCTTTCACTCTAAAATCAGGAACAAGACAAGGATGTTCACTATCACCATTCCTATTCAATATAGTTCTGGAAACATTAGCCAGAGCAATTAGACAAGAAAGAGAAATTAAAGGAATAAGGATGGGAAAGGAAGAAGTTAAATTATCATTATTTACAAATGGCATGATACTCTACATAGAAGACCCCAAAAACTCCACCAAAAGACTTCTAAATTTAATAACCAAATTCCGTAGCATAAAGGGATACAAAGGCAACACTCAGAAATTAATAGCATCCCTGTACACAAACAACAAACTCATTGAGAGAGAAATTAGGGAAAATACACCCTTCATATAGCATCCAAAAAAATGAAATACTTAGAAATCAATCTAATAAAGGAAGTAAAAGATCTATACGTTGAAATTTACAATACTTTGAAAATAGAGATTGAAGATGATTTCAGGAAATGGAAAGGTATTCCTTGCTCATAGATAGGAAGAACCAACATTGTGAAAATGGCCATACTCCCAAAACTGTTATACAGATTTAATGCAATCCTGATCAAAGTACCATTAACATACCTCACAGATCTAAAGAAAACATTCCTTAAGTTCATCTGGAACCAGAAGAGACCTACAATAGTAAAAGCAATCCTGGGCAACAAAGGCAAGGGAGGAGGCATCACAATCCCTGACTTGAAATTATACTACAATGCTACTGTGATAAAATCAGCATAATACTGGCAGAAAAAACCTCTAATGTCCAGTGGAACAGATTAGAAGATACGGACACAACTACAAACACACTCAGCTACCTTATCCTTGACAGAGGCCAAACATGATCAATTGGAAAAAGCCTCTTTAACAAATGGTGCTGGAGAAATTGGCTTTCCACATGCCCAAACCTAAGCTAGACCCATGTCTATCACTGTGCAGTAAACTAAAGACAAAATGGATCAAAGATCTAAATATTAAAACAGAAACACTAAATCTATTGGAAGAGAAAGTAGGTAGAAACCTTGAAGACATAGGGGTAGGCATAGAGTTCATGAACAAAAACCAAACTGCATGAGAAATACTTCAAAGAACCAACACTGAGATCTCACCTTATTAAAAAGCTTTGCACGTCAAAAGAAATCACCAGCAGAGTAAAAAGAAAACCCACGAATTGGGAAAAAATGTTAGCTAACTGTCCCTCAGACAAAGAACACTTCTATCTAGAACATATAAAGAATTTTGAAAAAAATTAGGTCCCCAAAATTCAAAGACCCAATCCAAACATGGGCCTATGAGATGAATACACACTTCTCAGATGAAGAAATACAAATGGTAAATAAATATATGAAAAAATATTCATCATCATTAGTCATTGAGAGATGCAAATTAAAACAGCACTGAGATTTCATCTCACCCCAGAAAGAATGGCTATTACCCAGAAATCAACCAGTAACAAATGCTGTCAGGGTTATGGGGGAAAAGGAACCCTTCTCCACTGTTGGTGAGAGTATAGACTGATACAGTCACTATGGAAATCAGTATGGAGATTCCTTAAAACACTAGGATTAGGGGCCAGGGATATAGCTCAGCAGAACAGCACCTGCCTGGCAAGTGGGAGGATGTGAGTTTGATTCCTGGTACAAAAAGAAAAAGTAAGATAAAAAACTAGAATTAGAGGTCCCATTTGACCCAGCTATTCCTCTTCTGAGTATTTTTCCAGAAGAATTTAAAACAACATACCACAACCATATATGTGTACCCATGTTTATAGTAGCACAATTTGTGATAGCTAAATCTTTGAAACAACCCAAATGCCCATCAACTGAGGAATGGATCAAAAAAGATGTGGTATTTTTATACAATGGAGTACTACTCAGCTATTAAGAAATTAAGCTCAAGCCTTTTATAGGTAGATGGATGCAACTACAGAACATATTCATAAATGAAATAAATCAGACCTGCATATGTAAACACAATATTGTCTCCCTCGTGTAAGAAACTGAAAGAGTAAATAAAATCCAAAAGGTACAGTAGATATTGTGAAAGGGAAAGAAACTACTCAAAAGGAAAGAACTAGAATGGGGGAAAGGAGAAAAGAAAGAAGGAAGGGGAAAATATGTATATATATATATACAAGATAGCTAAGATAATTTTACTACTAATTTCTATTTGTTTACTGAAAGGAACAGTTAATGCTTAATTGTTTGATGAGTTTTGCATGCCTATGCCTGGTAATCTGAACAATGAACAATGTTTGATGATGACAATATGCAATATAACAATCATTTTCAATTTCCTATCATCTTGTTTTGAAATTCTGTACTGATTTTATTATTTTTTATTCTCTTTAAAATAAAAAAAGATCAATGAAACAAAAAGAGAAGAGAAAACACAGACTTACACCAGAAGAGGATGATATGGAGGTGATGTGTTTTCAAGAGCTTGGCACATGTATTTTCAAGCTACAAATGCCAAGGATTTCTAGAAATCACTGACGTCAAACAAAGGGATGGTGGGGGGAGTTTCTCTTATAGAGGCTCCTAAAGAAGGAATCAATCCTGGTAACTCCTTGAGTCCCCATGTCTATATTCTTGAACTGGAAGAGAATAAATGTGTATTGTTTGAAGCCTCTGATTTTGTGGTAACTTGTTTCCACAGCCCTGGGAATTAACGCAATATGTAAATCACCAGTATTCCTCACTACTGGTCTCTAAGGTCTCCCTCTTACCATTGCCTTCTCCAAATAGTTCTTGCTGCTTAAGCTCCAAGTGGCCAGTTTCCCTACTCAATCATGTGAACAAGTTGGGAGTGACTGGCTTCCAAGAGCCAGTTGTGTGTATCTCTCCCTAAATCACTGCTGAGGACATCATATTGGTACCTTGCAACCAGTATTTACACCAGAGCAATGGGCAAACACTATGAATCATGCTCTTCCTTCCAGAAAGTCAGTTATTAAACACTTACCAACATATCAGTGTTCCTATCTAAGTTCAGCTACTTTCCCAACTTTCTTCAGAGTTCCACCTGTCCTATTCCTGCCAGTGGATGGCGGGGGAGGAGGGAAGAGCCAGGGCAATGACACTCATGTCACTATAAGCAAAGCAGCAACCTTCTCCCTACTAAGAAGGCAATCCTCTAGTTCCAGTTTCCCTTTGAACTCTGATCATTACTTTTGTATTATTGTATATGAGGCCGACCTCCCTCCACCCATGGGCATTTGATTATTTATAACTTCAGAAAGTTTCTTTTGCACAGTTATTTGCCAGGCTTTCATCTACAGCAGGCAGCGTTTGATAGAAATATGGAAAATGGCCTGAACTTTAAATGACAAACAGATGAGGAAGTCCAATGAAAATCACACGTGTTTGAAAGCCATGTGTTTTCAGATGAAATATATATGGGATTTTTAATTGATGTTGACTTTAGTTTGTGATAACATTTTTAGCTACCTTAATTAGCGGGTTACAAGAAACAGTAAAGAAAAGAATGTGATCAAGATGAACCCGCAAGAAAATCTGGGTAAGTGACCTCTCCTTACCCCTGCGCCCTCCTCCCAACCCAGTCTCCATTGTCTTATTGAGTCTCCTTGTTACTCTGGCACAGTGCAATATGAGCAGTCCTGCCTTGCATAGGATTTGTGAGTATAGGACCTTATAGTGGACATTGTGAGATTCATGTTTTTGGTGGTCATTAATACTGTTCTCCAAAAATTCCCAAGTTCTCCACCTTTGTAGCATAGGATAGGTCTGTATTTTCTAGTCCCTGTGGCTCAAGGGCCCGTGGGACTACTTCTGGATAATGAGTTAGGGAAGACTGTCACACTCATCAGTTTCTGCATCAAATTATTTAACTTCAGAACCTTTTTCCCCCTCTGGCACAGTGATCCATGATATTAGACGTGTCTCTCAGCCTGGGTTCTAGAGGACTACTGATTCCTCCTACCCCCACCCCAGCACTGTGAGAGTGTCACAACATATCACTCGCTGAGGAGAAAGTCAAAATTATAAGAATAGTTTCTCCTGAATGTGTATCTCTTTTGTGCCATTGTAATGTCAAAAAAAGTCCCCTCAGTCAAGCATTATAAGTCAAGAACCATGAGTGTCCCCAAAGGAAAGGCAGCTTACCTTCCCTGGAAACTAAAATGTGCTGAGCAGATTCTGGGTACTGTTTTATTTGGATAACTCCAAACACTGAGATTCATTGAAGTTAATTGGTTGTTGTGCCCAATTATTCAGACAATTACCTCAGCCATCCCTTCACTTTAGGTTTACAGAGCAGAGCAATAACTACTGATTTCTTCAACTTCATCTTCCTCAAAACTTAAGATCTATTTTAGCATCAAAGAAAGGAAGACATCCCTTGGAAAGCTGGAATTCTTTCTCTGAGCATTATTTTACTCTAAAATGTCATCTCAAGGAATATTACTCAGATAACAGTACCTAGTTGTATGTGTTATTTGAATATCAGCCAAGAGAGAGTCTAAATTACAAGGCATGACACACACT